CAACTGAGACAATGGAGACAATGAAGACAACACTTACTGTGAAATCCTTTCGTCATTTCGATTAACACTTGATTTCGATTTAAACTTTAAATGAAACCAAAACAACGTGTTGTCGACCACACTATTGCCCATCAATTACGACAACACTTACAACACGTGACCCAATGGAGGGCTCACTGTGTGAGAGACTGAGGCCGTAGTTGTGGTCGTAATTGATGGGCAGTTGTGTCGAGAGATGGCGATCGTGTAGTGAATGGTTGGAATGACTCCATTGTTGTGGCATTTCTATGAACCGAATGTATGGAACGTATTGTGCATTGAATTGAATGTCAAATGAATTGTTGGCCAGAAATGTGTGAAAGCATTGACTGATCGGTTGTCGCAGTTGTGGATCGTGTGGATGGAGTGACGGGTGGTGTGACTGCTATGTCACTCACCAGTGCAACACTGAAGGTAGGACTCACTGCTAGCCTGTGCTAACCCGCGCTCAGCTGTGTTTGATGTGTTGCAGAGGAATCCGAAGATGGAGTTGAATCGGTCGGATCTGTTGCGGCTGTTGTCCATTCTTGAGGGCGAACTACAGGCGCGAGAAGTGGTGATAGCGGTGCTGAAGGCCGAGCAGATCAAGAAACTCCTTTACCCGAACCGGTCGTCCAAACAGGCGTTCAGTTCGGACACTATTAAGTGGACACCGAGTGGTGACCACAAGACACAGCACAGCGACCCCTGGAATGCGCTCTCGAGGGACGCGTTCGGCGCTTACGACCCGTCGTTTGACAGGACGGCCACTCTTGCGCTGTTCAACATGAAAATGACACAATTGGATGCTCTCATTGGTCAGCAACGGCGCTCCCGCGCCCTTCTTCAGGAGCAGCTCTCTGTTATTGAATGCAAACACAACGCAATGGCCGCCGAATTGGAGGCCGAACGACATCTTCGTCTTCAGACAACTCCTCTCGACCGCCGACTCGAGAGTGACGTCAAGACTGTGTCTCAGAGTCTGGAGAACGAGAGGAGTCGCGAAAAACAGATAGTTTTGTGTCTTTTATCGGAAAGAAAACAATTGATAATTAAGTTGATTGAAGAAAGACAGCGAAACGAAGAACTCTTACAACTGTTGAGTTCAGAGAAGGCAAAGACCGCCGAAATGGTCGAAGGATTGGAAGACGAGAGCAAACGCTCGCTTCAAATGGAGGCCGAACTCGAAAAGTATTTGACGGACTTTGAAGGCGAGCGCCAGAAGTTTAGGACACAATTGGCCGCTTCGGAGACGCGGAACGCGGAGTTGGCGGCAGAAGTGGACCGACTTCGGCAGCAATTGAACGGCAAGAGTGCTCTGGGAGAGGGCGTGCGCTCAGCCATCGTGACCATGGCTTCGGCCACGCGTTGTGTTGCGACCGTTCCTTCGGTCTCATCCGTGAGTCAGCCGAAAGCGAGTGTTGCCCAACACGTGGTCGACGCCCAACACTCTTACGCAACAATCTCTTCCGTCAAAATGAACGCAACAATACCTCCGCCCCCCTCCGCACCCGCGCCGCCCCCCAAAGCACTGGTTAGTAATAGCAAAGCGACGCCCACTGCGACAACGCCTCCCGTAAACGCCTTTCAGAACATAACGTATAACTTGGAGACCAATAGCAAGACGACGGGCGCCGTGAGGAAGCTGTCGGCGGGCGGCGCCGGCAGAGGGACTCCGCCGCCGATCCCACCGAACAAACCGCTCATCAAACCGGTTCTTCCTCCACAGGTTCAGCGCAGCAAAGACTCCAAAGTGATGGCCGGCGTCGCGAAGACGCCCACCAATAACGTGAAGAACGCGACGATTGGCGCCAATGAGAGCACAGGTGAGCAAAAGGACGAGAAAAACGATCTCTTGTGTCAGGAATTAGAGAATTTCAATTCATTGCTCGTTTCCATGGTTTCCAATCACATCAATATTATCTGAATCTCTGTTTTGTTTTCCAATGATTGCAAAGAATTATGTTTTGTTTGTAGTATTGAATTGACAATAATTATTACTTATTATTTAATTATTGCATGTTTTCATGCATTCTTGTTATCTATTCTGTAATTATTAAACATTAACTCATTTTTATTATTGTTTCCGAAAGTATTTTTATATTTATTTTGCTCAGAGAATGAACTGATTGTAAATCTTTACTTAATCTCCACTTTGTTTCTGGTTTTAATCTATTTGTGGTTTTTATTTATTTTTACACTTGTTTTGAATAAAATATTGAAACCGAAAACACATTATTTTGTCTTCTTTTAGGTCGACATCAGGAAGTGTTATAACTTGATCTCGTGTTCACATTCTCCGCACAAATAGATCAGAAATTCATTCGCTATAACATCTGGTCATTCAATACTCTTCTCGTGTAAATAACTCTCAATTGATCTTTAATTCAATAGTTGTTAGAAATGTATTTCAAATTAATAACTCAAAGACTGCCGAAAAAGGGTTAAACTGTAAATACGATTGAAATTTGTATCGATTTGTCGATTGAAAGCAATAAAAATCAATTCTAAACACAATTAAACGCTATATTTATTAAGTCTAAAGCAATCAGATATAGATCTCAGTGTCGCCCAACTCTTCGTCCGACGGCAGCACCAATAGGTTCGGATCGACCAGATTCTTGTCCACCAGCGGTAATCCCAACCGTTCTCTTCGATCCAATTCCAGATACGCTTCTCTCGTCGACCAGTCGTGAAGTCTTTGAGACAACGGTTAGCAAAGAGGTAAACAAATGGCTTCACAAACCTGTAGTCCGGGTAATAGAGCATAATATAGGGCACGAGAATAGTGCTGATCGTTATGACCAACAGAAACGCCCAGCGATTGAGGAAACGGTCCTCTTCTCGGTTCCCGATATCCCATCCATAGGACACCCAATTCTGCCAAACAGTGCTTTAATAACAATCGCATTGTCTTTCTCTACAAACCTTTTGGGACTCAATGTCTGCGAACTCGCGGACAGTTTGCGGTCCTTTGGGCTGCGGATCCATAAATCCGGGAACAAATGAGGGAACCGAAGAGTGCGAGTCGTAAGAGCCGTGAGAGTCCTTCTTCTTCGACGACGCATTGATCGCACGTTTGCATCCATTTTGAGCGCCGATTGCAGACAATGTCAACAAATGTCTGGATTTTGTCCAAACATTTCGATATAAAAGTGTATTCAAAATGTTTGACATGTTTTCAAATCAGTGTTTAATTCACAACAAAATCACTGCAAATGTTGTCGCGATTTGAACACAAATTACGTCTCTTTTGAGTGAAACATGTCTTCAGACGTGAAGAAGGACTCAATGGACCAAAAGGTGACAAAATATGAACACTTTGTGAACAATGTGTTGAAAGAAGACTTGAAACGAGTTGTTTCGCGACAGGAAGTGATTTGTCAACAAACGGCTCATTATTTGCAAATCAAAGCCATTATTAAAAGCGTTGAACAAAAGGACAAACCGTTGAAAATGCAAACAGACATCGGATCCAACTTTTATGTCCAGACAGTGATGTAAGTATTGTCTCGTGTCATGACATCCATTCACACC